AAGAAACCAGTCTTCCAATTGTCAAGTGCAATGGTTCCCTCATAGATTACATTATAAGTTATGCGGTATTTTTGTTGCCCTTTTTCCTGTCTTTGCTGAATTGCTTTGCAAATCTCAACTCCAACAAAATATGTAGGGCCATGCTTTAAGCCTCCCCTCTAATATTTCTTTAGAATTTATGCAAATCACTGGTTTTGAAATTAAAATTTTACTGTGCTATTTTATACAGCCCTGAATGTCTGCCTGCAGCTTATCCTGCGCCTTTTATTAAATCCTAAACTCCTTTCCTTTTTGTAGAGTGTAACGTAATGGATCAACGGACTAAGTTAGATGCCAGGCATCACAGGACAAGTATTCTCATCAAAACTTTATGTACTTAAAAGATGGTGGATTCATTGTAAATTTCCAAACTCGACTCCTACCCGGGAACTCATAGCTTTTTATATTTTTTAATTCAAACTTATTTCTTACCAAAAAGTCTTAATTAATCAAATCTGAAGATGTCAAAAAGTCAAGATGAGATATCAATGCAAGGTAGCAATTTTTCAACGCGAGCTCATCACAAAATGTCACACACAAGCGCTAATTTAAGGGGGAATGAACTGTGTTTTACGTAATTATTTTTGGGGGTGGAAGGAGGGAGGTGCAGATCTCTGTTAAGTGTGCATGACAAAGGGGGGGAGGGATCCCATTTTCAGCGTTACCTATTTTATGAGGGGTCCCTTATTTCCTTTTGAAAAATGAAACAAATAATGATTTGGAGATTCAGCCTAATGTGTTCATGTACTTATGACATACCTGCAACAGCATGTATGAAATCCTCAAAACTTGTTTTTCCTGTCCTTGAATTTCATTGTTTAGCATCAAAAATTCTGTTTCTTACACAATATGTACTTATATTAGAATTTCAATGTTCTGAGCCTTTATCAGACTTAATGCAGCATGTTCGTTGTTTGCTCTCTGACAGCATGGTTTTTTTTCTTCATTGTTATTATAATGCATCAGACTATATACCATTTTCTCGAGTAAAGTTACCTCTAGAAAGAAGAAAAATGCTTCCACATAATGAGTCAGTAGATCGCAGTATTTCCTCCGAGTATTTCTTAATTGTTAGAATATGATGCGTAAAACACTTTAAAATGAACTACAACGATAGATATTGGAGGCTGTAATTATCATTTGTGTGGAGAAAAATAATAATAATAAAAAAAACGAAAGAAAAAAACCATTGATTTGATTGGATTGACTTTTGAAATTTTGCCTTTGACAAATATCAATTTTGAATTTTAAAGATCTAGAAGTAGAAATTCAAACTTTAAGTCGAGACTACCATATCAAGTCAAATTGTGAAGAGGTAACATCTGAAAGGAAGCGTGGACTTTCCCAGACCATCTACCGGCAAATTTATGAATGATGAGTTTTAAATAAAGAGCTATAATCAGGGGCGTAGCTAGGAAATTTCTCTGGGGGGGGGGGCATGGGACCACCTCTCGTGGTGAAGAGAGCGGGGGGGGGGGAGGAATGGAGGATCCCGTTTTTCTGGGGGGGGCTGCCTCCCCCCAGGACCCCCCTAGCTACGCCCATGGCTATAATGTACAGTAGTGATAAAGATTTCATCATAATCGTCTCACTTTTTACTGCAAAATTTTAAAAGTAAAACAAAAACTCTCAAAAAACTACTCATCTAATCCAATTAAATTATTTTGTTTCACACAGGGACATTTTTTGTTTTTTGTTTTGGTTCCTGTAGCAGCTAAACAGAACCATATTTTGGGCATTTAACGCATTTTCATCAACAGTTTTATCATGCTCAATAGACCACCAAACAAGGTATAAACTTTAACACTCTGAAATATGTTTTCTTTTTAAAGCAAAATTATCTCTCTTTAGTTTTCTCCATTGGGCGTTCTGTTTTGTGATTTCAGTTGTATTCACACGTGAAGCCAAAGCCTGCTGTCAGAAAGAAACACCAACAATGCATTAAAAGTGACCGTAACAATAACACTTGCAATGAGGCAGTTTTAGGGACCGATTTTTTAGGAAGTAGCGTTAGTTTAATGTCGAACAGCAGTCCGTCTGTGCCTGTCATTCCGCCTCGAAACAAAGATGTCGTGAAGTTTTGCAAACTGTTTGGCTACTCGGACCCAACAAATATCATCATTGACGACCGCCACTTTCAGCTCTACAACGAAGCGAAAAACAATAGTGCAGTTTTAAATTTCAGCACTGAAATCGAAGGAAACCAGAATGGCATTCGGATCCGTAAAACAATGAGCGCCTACTATGGAAACGAAGAGCCAAATCTGAGTTCAAGTCAAGAAAGCAAAAAAGTTTCATCATTGCAGTCAGTAAAACGGTTATTTTCAAAGTCCTCTACATCTCAGACATCGATTTCGGCTGCCAGCTCAGCAGCGTCTGATTGTAGCTCGCAAGAAAAGAGACTCAGCGGTTTGTTTTCGTTCTTTCGATGGTTCAACAAAGACAAACGAAAGGACAGCCTTTCTTACACAGACTGTGATAGACTTCCTCCAGAATCTGCCTTTTTACAGTTCAAACAAACCCCCGTGCACCACACAGGGAGTGTGGACAGTGTATACAGCACAGCAACTTGTAATAGTTTTTTTTATGTTCCTCCTTCGCGGTACAAGTCAAAATGCTGCATTCAAAGGCGAATACCTTATGACTCCGAGACAGACACATACCGAAATCGAGTTAATCAATTTGAAAGATCAAGAGAAACGGAGCAGAAAATCAGTTTAAGGAAGAAATACAAGCTACTGGGTAGCGCTTTAACTCTTCATAGCAGTGTTGACAACGTATCTCTCTGTGATCGCGGTAGGATAGGTAGTAATCTAGGGCTCTCAAGTTTAAATTCAACTTTGCAACGAAGAAAACGCCAAGCACCACCACCTCCGCCACCTGTAATACGTGAAGCATCTCCCCAGCCTAGTCCCAAAGAACCCCTTCAATCAGGCAGCAGTCAGTGGAAGAACCATCGCAGGAGTTCAAGTGAATCGTCGAAAGATAAAAGAGCTGGTGCTTACTTCCATGTTAAAGGAAAGCGGAAAGCACCCCAACCTCCTTCTTTCCTTCATAGAAATCAAACATTGCCCAGAAATTTAACGATCGGTAGCACAAGAAAAAAACGCCTCGCTCCACAACCTCCGAAAAGAAATAGTGCAATATTTCCGTCTAGTAGTTTTGATCTTGAAAATTTTACGGACCCCAAAAGTTCAACAAACGATCAATCTCATACTGACATTGTTGAAGATCCTGAAGAAAAAACTGACGATAGAACTCAGTTAAACGCCGATGTTTCCCCGTCCAGTAAAATAGAAGATTCTGTTATTAAGTCAGAAACAGAAGTGGATTGCTCAAACATAGATCTTGAGGAAGGGCAAATAGAAACAAATGCTGCTGTAAGAAAAAAAAATGGAGAATTGTTGACCAAAGCAGATAAACAAAAGCTCTTTGAAGACTTCGAGAAATTAGAAGCGCACAATAAAAAGCATTTCACCGGCTCAGAGTTACCTAGTGAGAGATTGGAAATGGCTCAGTCAGTGTGTAACGACTCGTTGAAGCTGGAGAAAGGAATTTTAAAACCAAATAAGGCTGACTCAGGAGCAGAAAGTAAAATTGTCGAAGATCGAGTGGTCCCTCCTCCTTCTCCAGTTTCGCCAAGGCCGTGGTACAAGAGAACAGTTCAGAGCACGAGCATCTCTCATAGCATGAATAAATCAAATCTCCTTGAGAAGTTGAAACATTTGGAAAAAAATAAAGTAGAAACAAGCGAAGCGAATGATCTTCCAGAAGTAAGTAGTTCAAGAACGATGAAAATTGGGAATGAGTCAGGAAGTCGGCTGGGATTATCACCAAATGTCAGCTCACCGACCAGTGAAAACAAAAGACGATCTCAATTGTCGATTTTAACTAATATCAGCGAGTTGGATCGCGAGGCTGCTGAAATTGTTCGAAACGAGCGGTTGCGCAACTCGCGCCTCATATCTGTGGAAAACGAAAAATTTTACGACTCTAAACTTGAATTACCATCGTATCATCCATCGGAAACGACTAATTCCTGCAGCGCAAGCTCACAAAAGAAGACGTCTGCACGAGATTTGATATCTTTGTTCAATGCCATCAGCAATGTCACCAAGGTGACCGTCAATACCGCTTTCTTCACAAAAGACAGCCTGAGTTTGTTTTCAAAAGATTCTGGTGACAAGAAATCAAGCTTTTCAAAGTCCAAGAAGACACCAACCAAGAAAACAAGTTATGTTCCTGAACCCTCCTGTAATGTTCCTTCAGTTCCTAACCGAGAGGAACACCTGGATGATAGCATTTTTGTCAACTTGCATGCCCTCGATGATATTGAGCCAAGACTGAATGAGTCCAAAAATTTGTGCGAAGAAGTCATGACAGAATTTGACATCCGAAAATCGCGAACCCAAGAGCTTTTTGAAATCAACAGACAGCGGCGGCACCATTCTCCAAGCCCATCGATCCCTACTATCACAGAGATGTCGGAGTCTATTTCGGGTTCAACCACTGTTGCATCAATGAAGATTGAGTCTCCAAGTCCACCGGCACAGGTCAAGCCCATTGAGCAGACACAGACAGCTATTGAACAGACGCAGGCAGCGGTTGAACAGACGCAAGTAGCAAGCGCTAGCTCCTACAATGCTGTCTGGTCTTGTCCCCGGTGCACACTCCAAAACCCAATGTGGAGGATACTTTGCGATGCGTGTCATTTGTTCCGCACGACTATTTCCGTCAACCCAATCGAGCCCCCTGTTATCAAACCCGTTGATCTGTCATTATCGCCTAGAACTCGAGTTGCATCTTTTGCTAATACATCGGACTTGAAGAATTCATCTGAAAGTGTTTCGAGTGAACAAGTCTCAAATACAAGTGAATCCTCCTCAAATGTTAGCAAAGACAAAGAAGCACCAAAGGATGGTGCCGTAAATTTAAACAAATCATCAACAGGTACCGTTAATAAAGAAGCTCAGTCCTCTTCAGCTGTCGAAGCTCCCAGTATCAACTTTGCAGAAGCTAAAATGAAATTCAGCCGAGCCAGTGAAAGTGAGAGTAAGAATTTAATCGAAAGTAAAAAATTACCACCAAAAAATAATCTCATCAGTGAAAAGTTGGGCAATGTCTCCTCCGCCTCTGCTGTAGTTGATGACACCACCATCAACACCAACACAAGAGAAGAGAAACTCATCCGAGATAAAGTTGTGCTGTCAAACAGTGCAGAATTAGTGGAAGTTAGAAAAGCACGGTTGGCTTTTTTTGACAAGAAAGGGACGGAGAACAACTTGAACAAGAAGATAGAAGATGGTCCTGAGAACAGTAAGGCTAATAAAGATATGGACCATGCAGAAAGAGAGAAATTGAAGGTGATGTTGAGGGAAATGAAGCACTCATTGACGAAACAAGACAGCACCGAGGAAAAAAATGGCTCTGATAATACTGCTCCAACAGCACCTTCGCTGGCAAATGACAGAAGGTTTGGAGCCATCAAAAAAGTGAAAAAAGTAGACCTGGATAGTAAGAAATTGAGTTACAAAAAAGTTGAAGACTATTTAGATGGAATCCAGAGTGAAAAAACGGCGGAAGCATATTTAGTAACAAGCGATGTAATATTTGAAGATGTCAAGATAAAATCCTCCGACCCGACTACATCTGCAGACAAAGTTTCAACCTCAGTTCAAACTAGCTCAGTTGTTCGAAAAATGGACCTACCACCTAATATCCTGAACAAGTCTGTTGAAAATGGCTTGGTGATTGCTCCAGTCATCATTGAAAAGTACAATATCAAAGATGGCAAGGTTAAATCGTCAGTCAAACGAGATACCAGGTCCATTAGTATGAGTGCATTCGAGTTAATCAGAGCTCAAGACTTTGCAGATCTTAAATCTAAACCCCCAACCCATGCCCTTTCTCCTGTCTATGCCAACATTCCGTCTGATGCGAGTGTTTCTGAATGTTATTCTCAGATTTCGGACCTGGTGCCTTCAAAAAGTTCCAATCTGTCTTCGAGCCAAACGCAGTCCTTCGATTCTTCAGGTATTCACTCAACTAGCTTTTGAAGTGAATATGTTTTTGCATGTTAGAAATCAGTTGTATTAATAAACATAATTTTATATTATACTTTATAGTATTATAAGTACTATTGTGCTTAAGTACATTTTACTTATCATGAAAATTAGTAGTGCTAATGATTTAGATTTATTCGTGTTTAACGCTGATTTTCTCTAACTTGATTTCACATAATTTTTCTTGCTTTTGTATTCTAACCTCGAAAAGTAAAAAAAAAAACAAAAAAACTACAGAGTTGTTTTTATGTTCTGCAAAACGATTCTTGTTTAGTTTCAAAAGATTGTAATAATACTTCAGTATTTACCTCGATTTTGATTATTTCAATGCGTTATGGTGGAGCATGATCAATTTTTATAAAATTCTACGATTTCTAAAAAGATCAAATTTCTAATCGATTAAGTCTCCATCATTAATGACTCCAAAATACCATTGCACTATAGAAAAGAAGGGATTAAGTTTTTTCCACTGCTTTCAATTTGTCCAATTGAAGCTTAAATAGAGCATCTTCTGTTGTAATGAAGTTATCAATTTTTCAAGAAAAAGCCAGGAAATATTTTTCAAAATTCCTTTTTTCCACAAACCTTCTGGTCACAGAGCAATGCAGAACTAAACTTCCCTAACAACTTGTATATTTACTGAAAAAAGGAAAAATTAACCTCTCCCCTTTTCATCTGCACCAATAACTTTCCATTCTGTGAGATCAATTTTTGCCCAAGAACAACTGATGCTAAACTTTTCAATGAAATTGTTTCACAGACAAAATATATAAGTTCAGCACGTTTTCCTCTCTTAAAAGCTTAGCCCTTCATTCATCAGTAATTATAATTAGGCAGAGATGAGCATTATTCTTCATTCAAAAACACCGAACTCTGAAATGGAGCCTTGGATTATGTCCTCTAGTAGTCTATAGTGGGCACGTCGGAAGATGCACTCATTGATCATAATTCACCAAAATACTTTTCATCTAGGAAGAGAAAAATGTGGTTGTTGTGTTTCCTCTCTAACGTACTTAACCTTTTTCAATATATTTTTTACTAATTTCTTTTGGTTTTGCTTGCCCTCACAGATAACCACTTAAAGCAGTGTGTACTGAAAGTAAGTGTTTTTGGATTGTATACTCATTTTGATGTGCTAACAAACATTACTTTGATGTTCATGCGAAAAGACTCTTAAGTATATGAAAGCAAATTCATCACAGCAATTTTTATTATATTTAACCGAAAAAATGGCATTAAGTTTTGAGAGAGATTTCGTTTTATCTTTTAGCACAAGCTAGAAGTAAATTAGTTCATTTTGGATCGAATGATTTTTGCATTTTGTCAGATTTTGTATTAATATACTCACTCTTTTCTTTACTTTGTTAGCCTGATCTATCAAGGAATTGTTGTTTATTCATAGAGAATATCAACAATGTAAGTCAACAATCACATATCTCATTTGCGGTGTCTGAAAATATCTGTCTCTATGTTATTTTTTTGAAGGAGAACAAATTGACATAATTCCTTGAAGTTTTTGCAGAATTTTCTTTGCACAGAGAAGAAAAATCACGGCAGATTTAAAGAATTGCCGTTGAGTAGTTCTCCATTTAAATAGTAAAGTATGACAGGAAGTCTGCAACGTTGCAAACCAAGTTAGGTGATTGTCGACTTATACCGTCGATATCTGTTTTAATCTTCTCAACTCATCTTCAAGCCACTGCACATACCTTGCAATTTTATAAGGTCCGTTCAATAGGAAACAAAACAGAAACGATTAAAATTGGCATCTTAAAAAATTATAAAACTAAGTTAAAGATAATAAGACTGTCACCAGAAATGAAAGAACGAAAAAAGGCTGTTCTAACAGAAATTTCATGAATACTAAGCTCTGTCTACAGACGGAAAATTAAGTGGCAAAATGATTCTTTCTCTTTTGATCAGGAAATGTAACAAGATCGGACAATATTCAGTATGGTCAAGATATCAACTCGGGATGAAGTCGCTTTACCAAAGCAATCCCTATTGCTTGTATAATTTCAATTCATACGGCTCCCTTTTTAGTCTAGTTATTTTTATCTTCAGTTTGGTTAGATGCTTATTTTTCCAAAATAATTTTTTTTGAGGAATATGGTACTGTTTTTTTTTTTTTTTTTTTTTTTTTTTTTTTTTTTTTTTTTTTTAGAGCTATGCAGGTAGTTGACATCAATGAATGAGATGAATTGGACATATTTCTATCAAACAGAACTATGTGCATTATGAAATGAGCCCTGTTACACATATTTTCTTATGAGTCTCAGGGCTCATGTCTTAATGCTTATAGTTCTGTTTGACAGATATACGTCCAATTACTATTTAGTTAACTAGAAAACTCCTTAGAAAAAAAAATGATCATAAGAACTTTTAAGTTGATCTGCCAATTTTAACAGAATTTTCTGTGTTTGCAGCTAGCACTAGTACCACCACCAGCAATAATGCTTATCACGCTCCTCCAGAGAATGTCACAACTTTGGCCATCAACCGACTTCTGCGACGTTTGGAGACTGCCATTGCCAAAGGTCAGCATCACCAAGCTGCAGCTTTGGCCAAAGAACTTGCCAGACTAAAAATTAGCTGCTCTGTTGTACGTCAAAAGCCACTCAACGCCAAAGCTTCAAATGACATCACGTAAGTATTTCATTGCTGTTGCCAATTTTCCTTAGATAAAATGAAACTTTGTAGTAAAAGTTGTAATTATTTTTCTCCCAATTTTTTAGACAATTTCGTTTGCAGTTTAATCTAAAATGGACGTATTTATGCTAAAAGGAGATATGTGCAAGTGGAAAGATGTGGTGTGCTCGTTAGTTGGGTCATAAGAAACAATGTAAAAGTGGATATAGCTCCTTTTGAGAAAATTGAAAAGCGGGATTTGACATTAAATCAAAAGGAGCTAAGCGGCAAAATATGCTAACTCATGAGCCGCGGGCATGGCAAGAGAGCGTTGTGGACAGGGCTCACGAGTTACAGCGCCCCGACGACCATCTCCCCGCCGTTAGAGTGCGCACTCACTGCCGCTGACGTCACTGGCGCACAATATTCCCCATTCATTCTTATGGCCCGACCACTAACGAGCACACCCCATCTTTCCACTTCCACATATCTCCTTTTCGCATAAATACGTCCAAATATCTGAAAATTTCAAGGAAATATATGCTCAAAACTTTCTCTACAATTATTTTTTTCAAGGAATCAAGGCACTCAAATGTTTATACAGGGTTTTTCCTCAGCATGACAGATTATCAGATTTCTTACAACCTTGAAAAATCCTTGATTTTATTTTCGGATCTTCAAAGTGGTAAAATTACTCCGAATTAGTTGTTGAAGTTCCCAAAAGTCCTCGAATTTCAGAGACGTGTCTAACGGACCACTGAATAGAGTACAAATTTAGGCGATCCGATTTATATTTCCTCTTCAAAATTTAACTTAGAGCACCATCTGCGCAGTGAAAATCACCAAGTTTAATCCCTAGCCATGAAATTACTTAGCTCTATTTATGAAAATTTTGAAATCCATGTTCACAAAACAGACCAAAACCTGCAGGAATCAAATAGTGCAATAAAAAAATTTTGTCAGGGTTCTTAGTCGAGCAGACACTTAGTGGTGCTTATGAAACATTCCATCTCTACATGAAATCAAATTTTTCACGTTGAGATATGGCTAAACTTATCTGAATGGGGAAAGTCAAAAAATACAAGTGTTTCAAAATTTCTGATTACATTTTATTTTTTGTTTAATGTGGGACAAAATTACAATCTGGAAACTTGATAGAACGTTGCTACACAGTAACCCTGCCAAAGTTTGTCGCCCTATCTCTGCATGGAGAGATTGACACAACAAAGAGGCATAGAACCTCCTGTACATATCCTCTTTTTGAAGCATGAACTATCACCTCCCTCTTAACCTCAATTCAGTAAGCTATGGATTTGATGTAAAAGGAAACTAAAGACACACATGTGTGTTACTTGCAAAATCCTTCTGTTTTATGCAAGGACTCCATTCATCCCTTAAAAATATTTGCCGCTAACTCAGACTCATCGCTTTATTTTCTAGGGTCAGTCTGTTTGTTGAAGACAAAGTCTCCCACCAAGGACCATTTTCATTGACAGTCCATCCAGGTATGAAAGTCTCAGACTTAAAATTAAAAATTGAAGCGGATTATGAAATTCCTGTTCGATTTCAGCGATGGATTTTGGGCAAAGAACTTGTGACAGACAATTCTCGCACCCTACAACAGTTAGGGGTTGCTGCTCCCGGCTTTCCGTTCTTCCTTTATCTTGTGGCTCCTGGTATGTATTTCAAATTGGTCTCTTTTCTTGCTCCGTTCCAAGGAAGCTCAATAACAGATTAAGCTCTCGAAGTTTCAACTTACCTGAATGCACCAATAATATTTTAATTTTTGTAGCATTTTTTCTTTCTTCCAAGGCAATTTCCAAAAATTTACTAATCATAAAGTACTTAATGTCC